CAGAAGTTTTGCTTCACCATAGCCGTTAGTCTTACTTGTTTTACAAAGAGAATAACTCCAAATAAGATTGTTTTTGCAAGAGAAAGTTACATTATTTTACTAATCTACTTTAAAATAAACAACTGTAAAGCCCCTCACTTGGTTTAGGAGTAGCCTATGTTAGTTAAAATATTCCTAAATTGATTTAAATAATCAAAAGAACTGCTAAATCAAAGTAAAGAGGGTCTGCACGGTTATGAGTCTTAACTAAATAGCCGTGAAACCACACCTTAAATTAAAACAAGTGCAATGATCTTGTTTAGACTTGCCTCTAGGCCTTACCTGCTCTGCATGTGGAATTATTCTGAAATATCTGGTTTTAATCTCAGTTTTACACCTAACCTTACTCTGCAGTGGTTTCCACATTGAAGGACCCTTTATCTGCAAAGCCATGCATAAAAAAAGCAAAACTTCCATAGTTTTTCATATCTAAAAGTAGAAACTTCCCCTATTCAATTCTTTCTAGCGTGAAAAGCACAACTTCACACCCACCGACATAAAGCAGAGGGACTCCCTCAACTAGTTTGAACTGGTAATCAGGATTGAATTACCTTTATCTCATATTGATGTTTTTTAGCAATTTTCCCATCTTCTTTTTTCTTAATCTCCTGCTGAGAAGAGAGGTACACATCAACACACTGACAATGATCAGCACACCCACCTCTAAAGCTAAAGTAAGATGGTGCTACTCCTGTCCCACTTTCTAACTCAGCACAGTAAAGATTCTCCCATCCAAACGCACTGGAGAACTTTCAATATTATTAAACTTTTCAAGTTGCCCAAACTGGTCACCTCTGCTGTTCTCCTTTTTCTGGTCTGGAGATGTTCTGGTGCCTGAAGTTCTTGTGGAGACTCTTCTTGACATGACAGTGGCTGCTGCTGCTTGGCTTGCAATCGGCTACTGCAAAGAGCAAAAAGACATTAGAGGTTAGGAGAGCAGCAGTTGTTAGATGAAAACATAAGCTTGGTGCATTACGATGCTAACAATTTACCTGCGTCTTGACATCTTCTTTGGGCTGTAAGATCTCTACCTGGATCAAAGGAACAACATAAGCTCAGTTAATGTACCTCCAAGAAGCTAGGACCGAGTTCTGTACTTCGACTCATAAGATGCACCACAAAGAGCAGCACAGTTTACATAACTGAAACAGAAGGGCACAAGTATTTAACTGGTGCAAGGAACACCTGAGTGGGGGATGTCTGTGGTATATAATCACATGCAGCTCCACGTTCTGCTAGGGGTTAGGCTGCTGAAGCGGGCTACATAAGGATGCCCACATGTGCCAGTGGCCGGTTTGGCTCAGGCTAGCTAGGCTCGTCCAGAATGGGGCGGGGAGGGGGGTGAAGCGGTGTGCGTGAGGGAGCTGTAAAGGGACATTTCCCCTGCTAGAGGATGTGGGTGGGGTCCCTGAGGCTGTGACTCCCCGCTCTCCCTACACCCTGCATACTCCCACACAGACGCACGTTTCGCCGGCGCGGCGGCTCCCCCCGGGGCGAT